GCGGACAATTTTTACGACGAGCAAGGATTCATCAACCGGGAATGTCAATCGTCATGTCTGCGTCTAAAAATAACGCAATAATTAGTGCAGTTTATTATAATAATGTTGATGAAGGTTCAATATTTGAAGCCTCACATTTACAAGGCGACATATTGGATTGATCAGCTATCTGCAACACCACAAATCACTTTCACACCCTTTAAATCGCTTTTTCACCCTTATTTGCATTAATATATCGGTTCTTTTTTAAACAAACATAGAAGGAAGATGCGTTATCAGTTGGGTTGTTCAATGAGCTAACTTTGAAACAGTTGTGACAAGAATTGCCTTGTTAATATTCAGTTGGTTGCAAATATATTATCACCCTGTAGACGAACACACCTAATCGACCAGCCGTATAAATTTCTCCCAGAGATAACTGGTTTACCAATTACAGAAATGTCAAGTAAATGAGACTATTACGGATGAAGAAATAATTGTAACTTTTACTAGCAACGCGGCTCATTGAAGCCAAAAAATTTCTTGGCGCCTACAAAGCAACAGCGTTTCGCTTTTTATTAGTCGCGGGCAAAAATTGCGAGTTTTACTACAGCCACGTGCTGCTTTTTACTCCAAGGCTGTCGGGTGTACGGAAATAAAATGCAGTTACACAGACAAGGTGCGTTTAAGACTTTGGTTTAACATTATGAATGTTTTTTATTTTTCTAAAAAAAAAACTCTGAGATAAGGCGCATTTAAAATACATACCTACATTACAAGCTAATAATGTCTTGGTAGGTTAATGTTAAAAGCCTTTTATTCTCAGAAGTATCAAATTATTAAACCATCTAGCATTTTCTGGTTACAAGATAATAGTTAAACACAGCCAACTAACGCCATGTAATAATTTGTGAGAATATTGTCCTTCAAAACAAGATTGAAATTCTATAGATCATTTTTATCACGTTTCGAGTTATCTTGAGTTATATGCCCTGAGTGTTATCTTATCGATAAGTATGTATATAAATTATATAATTTCCAAGCTAACTATGTCAAGGCACTAACTCCTTATCTTTTTTTTTTAAATTTGTAAGGGTCAACATACCCGCCTAGCAACTCAAAAAAGATTTGGCCAAAATTTCCATAACAAATCAACCCCGAAATCGATAGGCGGAGTCCTTGAAAAGCCCTTCCGGACGTAGATGCGAGTTTTTTTTTTCTTTCTCAAAACAACCCATCAAATTGTAAACTGGTTTAAATACCATTGAAGAGCAACCATGCTGGTTTATGGGTTGACACTATAGTTCAACGACATAACATGTTTCAACAGGTAAATGATATAAAATCTCAAATTTAAGCACTTGTTCCCACACATATGTCAAGAATTAATCTTGCACCTGTCATAATTTCACACCCACTATTAGTGAAATGAATTTCTTCCGTTCATAATCTCTGGGTATTGGGGTCGATACATTTTCCACACACGGTCGGTTGGTAATTATGGGACGAATTAACCAATGGGAGTCTGCTAATTAACGCTAAGTGCCAACTCTCTCGAGGATGCTTCGTGTGCGGGCAAACGACATGAAAATTATAATCTATGAATAAAATTTAAACAACTATGAGATAAGAGGGAAAATGTATTTTGGAAATCAAGTTAAATACTATGGGATTAGGGAAGAAAAATACTAAAATTTGTTAAAGGAGAGAGAAAACATTCACCAAAGGACGAAGGACAAAACATAAAAATCTTCCCAAAGAGTGAGAAACAATCAAAAAATGTAATTTTTTGGTAGTTTGTAGCTCTCATTGAGTACTCCAAAACTTTATTTGAAGAATATTTTTATCCCTTGTGGTTTTTGAGCTTTTTTGACAAAATCTGAGAAAAATTTGAAGCCTAATTTCTCAAAACCTATAGGAGGAATTAGTATCATTTTTGGAGGTTTTATAGAGAATTTCATCTTCTTTCTGAAAACATATGATACAAGAAGATTCGTGCAAAAACTATGAGCAAAACTTCTAGACCATGTCAGACTGTAAGAAAATTTCTGAGGTCAAAATTGAGATTTTTTTTCTCATGAAATTACCATTTCCGAAATACTTAATGTGGGATTTGGTTTCCACTAATTTTCACCTCCTCTTTCGATTGGGAATGTTCAATTTTGGAAAAAATTGAAAATTAAAAAAAGGTATTGATTTTTCAAGCTATCCCCCTTTGAATTTTTTATTCAAAATCTTTTATTGAGAATATCTTAGTAAATATGAGAGGTATCAAGTCAAATTTTTCTAAGTTAGTAGCTCTTTTTGAGTACTTCTAAACCTTATTTAGAAAATGTTTCCATCACTTATGGTTTTTGAGATTTTGGATCTTGTAATTTTTAATAAGATCTGAGTGAAATTTCAACTTCGAAGCCTAATTTCTCAAAATCTCTAGAAGCAACTAACATCATTCTTAGAGGTTTTATAGAGAATTTTATCCTCTTTCAGAAAACCTATGTTAAAACTTGATTCGTTAAGAATTACCAAAACTATGAGCAAAATATTGAGATCATGTCAGTACTTCGAAACCTTATTTGGAAAATATTTTCATCACTTATGGTTTTTGAGATTTTTGATCTTGAAGTTTTTGACAAAATCTGAGTAAAATTTCAAAACCTATAAGAGCAACTAGTATCATTTTTGGGGGACTTATAGACAATTTCATCCTCTATCAGAAAACCTATAATACAAGTTGATTCATTGAGAATTACCGGAACTGTGGGCAAAATTAGAGGACCATGTCAGACTTCAGATTGTAAGAAAATTTCTGACGTCAAAATTGAGATAATGTGGGATCTATTTCCCACTATATTAACCTCTACTTTCATCATTTTTGAGGGACTTATAGACAATTTCATCCTCTATCAGAAAACCTATAATACAAGTTGATTCATTGAGAATTACCGGAACTGTGGGCAAAATTAGAGGACCATGTCAGACTTCAGATTGTAAGAAAATTTCTGACGTCAAAATTGAGATCATGTGGGATCTGTTTTCCACTATATTAACCTCTACTTTCATCATTTTTGAGGGACTTATAGTCAATTTCATCCTCTATCAGAAAACCTATAATACAAGTTGATTCATTGAGAATTACCGGAACTGTGGGCAAAATTAGAGGACCATGTCAGACTTCAGACTGTAAGAAAATTTCTGACGTCAAAATTGAGATCATGTGGGATCTTGTTTTCCACTATATTAACCTCTTCTTTCGTCATTTTTGAGGGACTTATAGACAATTTCATCTTCTATCAGAAAACCTATAATACAAGTTGATTCATTGAGAATTACCGGAACTGTGGGCAAAATTATGGGACCATGTCAGACTTCAGACTGTAAGAAAATTTTTGACGTCAAAATTGAGATCATGTGGGATCTTGTTTTCCACTATATTAACCTCTTCTTTCGTCATTTTTGAGGGACTTATAGACAATTTCATCTTCTATCAGAAAACCTATAATACAAGTTGATTCATTGAGAATTACCGGAACTGTGGGCAAAATTATGAGACCATGTCAGATTTCAGATTGTAAGAAAATTTCTGACGTCAAAATTGAGATCATGTGGGATCTGTTTTCCACTATATTAACCTCTACTTTCATCATTTTTGAGGGACTTATAGACAATTTCATCCTCTATCAGAAAACCTATAATACAAGTTGATTCATTGAGAATTACCGGAACTGTGGGCAAAATTAGAGGACCATGTCAGACTTCAGACTGTAAGAAAATTTCTGACGTCAAAATTGAGATCATGTGGGATCTTGTTTTCCACTATATTAACCTCTTCTTTCGTCATTTTTGAGGGACTTATAGACAATTTCATCTTCTATCAGAAAACCTATAATACAAGTTGATTCATTGAGAATTACCGGAACTGTGGGCAAAATTATGGGACCATGTCAGACTTCAGACTGTAAGAAAATTTTTGAGGTCAAAATTGAGATTATGTGGGATCTGTTTTCCACTATATTAACCTCTACTTTCATCATTTTTGAGGGACTTATAGACAATTTCATCCTCTATCAGAAAACCTATAATACAAGTTGATTCATTGAGAATTACCGGAACTGTGGGCAAAATTAGGGGACCATGTCAGACTTCAGACTGTAAGAAAATTTCTGACGTCAAAATTGAGATCATGTGGGATCTGTTTTCCACTATATTAACCTCTACTTTCATCATTTTTGGGGGACTTATAGATAATTTCATCCTCTATCAGAAAACCTATAATACAAGTTGATTCATTGAGAATTACCGGAACTGTGGGCAAAATTAGAGGACCATGTCAGACTTCAGATTGTAAGAAAATTTCTGACGTCAAAATTGAGATAATGTGGGATCTGTTTTCCACTAATTTTACCTCTACTTTCGATTGGGAAAGTCCAAAAAACTAAGATAAAGAATTGTAGACAAGGGGAAAACCACCTTAGAATTTTGGTATTTTTAGCATTTTTTAGAACTTAATTAGAATTAATTTAGAATCTTTACCAGGCTCAAAAACATGTGCAATCTATGGGAATTTGCTCCTCAACTATTTTATGGATTAACATAGGGTTAGTTTTAGAATTATTTAGAATTTTTGGCAATCTTTTAGATTTTTCTTCCCCTCAATTGTAGAAAATTATTCAAAAAACGGAAAAAAGATATTTCAAAAATGGAAAAAGTTAAATCCATAGAAATAAATAAATAATAAAGATCTTAAAGAAAATACCAAAATTCGTTCATCACACAAACAAAAAAGAGTTTGATGGACATTGAAATAATTGCACACAAGAAATTAAACATTTATCAACGAAAGATAAAATACAAATAAAAATACCAAAGTTTTAGCTTTCAGATTGTGTTACATCTAGTTCAACTTTCTCCCTCAGCTTTGTCAGGCCTCCACCTCCCAGAATTCTGATAAGAATTCAATAGGCTACAAGCCAGCATTCCTACAAACTTCTTACAACAATCTTATACAAAAAAGCTTCACTCACCTGAATCAGAAGGAGTATCCAATCCATAGTTGCTATGTAGCATCATGGCGGAATCTTTGTCCTTGTAATAGCTGTGATCGTTTTCAGCAGCCATTTGAGTGCGCAGCCTAAAAGCCTCGTAATCCATTTGCTCTTGCTCTGGCTCATCGGATTCAGTGTCCTCTTGTTCTTCTTCATCCTCTTCTTCTTCTTCTTGATCTACCTTTTCGACTAGGACAACTTCTGTGTCATCAGCTGGTTCCTCTTTGACTTCCACCTCTTTGCCTTCGAAATACTCGGTCAAATCGCTGTCCTCGTCCAAATCGCACTCATTAATGGCATCATTTAAGATTTTCAATAAGCTGTTTGAAGCTTTGTTTTCTTCATCATCGGATTCCGGTGGTGTTTGTGGGGTGTGTTGCAGCATATTGGCTGGCACAAACGTGGAATTCATAGCTTTAACTGAAGGTTTCAATAAGCTTTGTTGATTGGTAGATGTTTTTGGATTGACCGGTGGTGGCGGGCACATTTCTTGTTTAATTATAGGAGGTTGAGGCGGTGCCATGCAGCTGAGCAATTTCGCTTCTTCAGAGTGTTCTTTGCTGCCGCAATGGCCGGCCCACATGCAATCGTGGTTTAAAAACACGTCTTCTTTGGCCTCTTCGTTGGTCCATTGCCAGCTGTTGAAACTTCCGCCGTTGTCTAGTTCTTTGAATATGTCGTCGATGTCGGACAATTCGGGAAAATCGAGTTCGAATTTTTTCCAATGGTCGTCGGCTAGGAACGAGTCTTCTTCGACTCTGATTTCGTCGTTCAAAGTCAACGGGTAGTTTATTAGAGGCGACGTACCGAACTGTTCAACAGTCATCGGTAGCGTTGACTCGAATATTGATTCAGACATTTTTTCTATCATCATATTACTAGTAATAAATCTAATTTTTTTTCTTCTATTAGTCTAGGAGGTGCTCTATATAATATAAAATCTAATATCACAATTTGCCCTGGGTAGATAACTCCCTTTTCGCTTCCTTTTTCGGGAGATACGATCCGGCAGCTGCTGTAAAGAAAAAAAAAAAAGATTGTTAGTTTGAAACTAATGTGGGAAAAAAAAAACTGTTCGACAAGGGCGTGAGATTTATTAAGTCAATATTATTTTGATCGAGAGAGGAATTAGAAACATTTAAATACCCCGGTAGAAAATGGAAAGGTTAAAAGTACCATATCGGTACCGTATAAAGCAAATAATGATAATTACAACGCAATTGCAAAATAAACCAGGAAGCCGGTTGGCTGTCGGCCGAGGAATTTCAAGAATGAAGTTCATTTTCGCGTGATTTCTATAGGCTCAGCGCTCAGCTGACCTAGCCTTGCATATTTTTTTTATCAATTAATTAATTGTACGTATTTATAGCTGCTTGATTAGTTCACTTAATACAAAAAGCTATTTATAGCTGGAAAGTTTCTGCCCTTTACTTCGTTAATAATTTAATTGAAAGGGCCCAGTTGCATAATTCAAAAGCCAACTTCAAGGTTTTACTTATTAAAATTTTGCCTCCAACTTCAAATTAAATTCGATTCGCATCCCCTTTTTATCATATTTATTTTGCATTAAGGGCCCTCTGTCGCACACGACCCGCATAACAAATTTTTGACAGTTGACTTTTCGGGTCCCTTTTTTCCTTGGAAAAGGGCAGCTGCTCCTATTGTTGCCCTAAATTTGAAAAGATGTCCAATTATTGCGTCTTATAGAGGATGCATTTTAGGGATTTGCGGTTTTTGGAGCACCAAGATTATCGTATAGAATTTTTAAACAGTATTCATTGGATTGGATGAATTCAAAAGATCAGCTTTGTCTATGAGAGGATTGTTTATTCGAAGTTGCTACCTTATGATTTAGATTTTGGAAAATTTTGGAAGGGCATAACTTTTTTTTTATTATAGATAGAAAGCTGAAATTTTCACTGAAATTTATCTCAATAAAGGGACTACAATCCCAAATTTGAAAATAATTTAATGTATTACAGTTATTGGGAAACTCGTTGGGATATCAAATACATTTCAATTTGACTAGCACTCAATGTTGCCTAAAACTTAGTCTTAAAGGCAAATACACAACTGACCGGTAAGCTGTATCCGAGGGGTCAACCACTCTATAAAAATGTGTACACGTATTGCGAAAATGTCGGTATTTCGGAAGTATTTCGTGAAATTCGAAGTATTTCAGTGGTGGTAATTCGAACTTAGTTTTTTGTGGTATTGCCGAGTACTTCGAAGTATTTGCAGGTAATTCGATGAATTTTGAGGTAATTCGAAGTTTTTGGAGCTAGTTCGAAATATTTCGCGGTAAGCCGAGGTATTTCGAGCTATTGAATTTTTTTTTTCATGTACCAAGAACAATAATTATTAATTCTCTATCACCTAAAATTTGAAAATTAATTACCTATAGAATGAAAATTATAGTCCATCTTGGAACAGGCTAAATATGTTGACATAATTTGGATTTACTGCAGATTAATTGAAACAAGTGAAAAGATATACTACCTGACTACCTGATACATATACATTGATAAGTATGGTCATCAGTCATCAAACAAGGACTGAACAGGAGTTGACAGGGGATTATTTTTGACTTTCCATGTATTTTTGGGAAAATTCAAAATAGCCAATTGGAACATTTTTTTCTGGAAAACTCAAAAATGGTACCAAAAAATCATTTGAACCAAAAACCAAAGAGTTACACCATGGATGAGCAGTTTTTTGAATGGAAGAGCCTATTTTTTGTATGATTTTTGGAGAAGTCGCACTTTTTTACAACCATTCTGCATTCTGTTATTCTTATTAATTTTGGCTTTACCTGTTTGATACATGGTAACAGAATACAAAGATTCGAGCAAATATTATATACCTTTAGCACCTACTATGAACCAATTAAATCCAACACGTATAGCTAAAATTATTTAGCATAAAACATTAAAATAAAATAGAAACAGCTATCGGATATCAAATATGTTCAACAGGATAGACGTAATATTAGCTTGCATTTTTTGGGACTTACACCTCAATTGAAATTAATACCAGAAGAGTTTATAGATAGATAGTAAAAAATTAGACTTTTTCAAAAATCATACAAAAAACGGCGTTCTATTTAAGAAACAGTGAAACCATGGGCGTAACTCTGGTTTTTGATTCAAACGATTTTTTGGTAGGTACCATTTTTGAATTCTCCAGAAAAAATATTCTAATTGGCTACATATTTGAATTACCTCAAAAAAACAGGGAAGTCAAAAATTGCCCCTGTTCAGTCCTCGTTGAACTCGTCGTTGGATGACCTAACCTGTACCTAACAGCATTGTAGAACTAACAGTCACCTGTAACTATTGATTTAATTGCTGTTTATGTGCTCGCATATAATTCATTATATCAAAAGACACAAAAATCCGAGCAAAAATTCTTCACTGAGATTCACAAGAAGAATCGTTATAAAATAAACGAGAATTGCGGGACTTCGCGCGGTAATTCGAGGGTATTTTGGGTATATACTTCGACGGTAATTCCATTGGATTTCGCGTACTCCGACGGGAATACCTGGTATTTCGAGGTACTTCACGGTATTTCTAGGTACTTCCAAGTATTTCGGAGGTAATTCGGGCCAAGTGTACACGTATTTCGGGAAGTGGTTGACCCCTCGGCTGTATCGTTTAAAATATATGATAATATGCAATTTCTGAGTTAGAATGAGATGATATTTCCAGCGATTACCACATGATTTTGAGCGATTGCCAATGGATTCCTATGTGATTCCCATGGAATTCTAGGAGATTCCTAGCGATTCCCAGGGACTCCCAAGTAGGAAATTTCCATGTATTCCCCATGTGAAACCCAAAAAAAATTACAATGACTTCCACTAGTGGTTTCCTTCTCGGCTTCAATATCAGGGATGTTCCAAACTGCACAATTGTGCATATTGATGCACACTTTCAATTTATATGCACAGTATGCACCCCAATCTCTAGATATGCACTTTTGATTTCTAGAATATATCTGTCACAATTTTTCAGTCGATAAATAGGACACAAAATATTCTGAATTTGGGGTTTCATTTCAGTAAATTTGTACTGAGTGTAAGTACAATGTACTGTGTACATACCACTGATATACATACTTCCATACTCTACACTCTCTACTAACCTGTGCCACCAAGGATTATACACACTACTATTCTACTACCAGGATGGCCTATCATAAGGCCTGTGTGAAAGAAATCCCCCCTCTCCTCCCCAAGCCAAATCACCAGTTGTGACGTAGGCAGCATGTTGTTTCTGGCCTTCACGTAGGCTGTTTAAACAGCTGACGACTTAGTTATGACGTCAGAAGTGGTGACACGCCAATATGGCGGCGATTACCAAAAACGAGGCGGATAAGCAATCCTGTAGGCGTGTATCATCCTTGGTACGCTACTGCCCAGCCGGCCCGAACCCAGTCCAGCCTGCTCGACAATCGCCAATGAAAATACAAAATATTAGCAATTGGAACTGGCAACGTTGTAAGAATTAACATACATATTGGCAACCGGCAACATTGAAAAGCAAAATAAGGGGGATGCACATTTTGTGTCAGATATGCACATTTTTTTTACTGTCAAATGCACATTTACAAATTCCAGGGGCGTAGTCACCAGTGTTCCGCGTGTTCCACGGAACACCGGCCCGGTAGCTCAAGGGGCCCGGTTCTACAGGTCAATATTATTTTTTCTCCTATTAAGTAAAAAAAAAAATAGATTTGAAGCTAATTTATATAAAAATAAAAATCATGTGTAGCGTACACATGTTAAGAAGCGATACTTCTTGAAAACTATTATACAACTTTTGGACTTGAGAGTATGAGTCAGGGTAAAGCATTAATCGGATAAAGACGAAATGTCACACAAACATCTTCAGTGACGTCCCAAAGGTTTTGGCGCTTGACAATAATAGGCAATCCTCTTTACTTATAATCCTTGGTTTGTGTCAATCGTTCGTCGGCTGTCATTGGCTATCTTTCTTTGTCTCTCTACATTATATCATATCATTCTTCTCTCTCGTCTATCGTGTAATGAAATTTGCCAAAACGTGACATTTCTTTCAAATAAATCTCCATTCTCGTCCAAATATCAGACCGCCGCCAAAGCATTACTCGAGTTAAAAACAACCTGAAAGTGACTTTCTATTGAGAAACCTACCCTAAGGAGTTTCACTTCTTGATTTGACTTATAATTTCTTTTATTCTTTTATAAAAACTTTCCGATTTTACCGCTTGTCCCGTGTCGCATATCTTCAATATTAATTGGTACGGCCGACCACTCCATAGTATGCCAGGATTATTATCAGGTATGCCAACTCAAGATCTTGCAATCCCTGCATTGCGCTTTGTTTTGCTCAAGGTTATTTATTTGAGAGAAGTAGGTTACTTGATAATCTCATGACGTCATCTGGGGTGCCGAAATATAATGCAAATCTCCATAAGCGGCACCCCAGATGAGTCATAAAGTAACCCCTTACCAAACAACTTATTAACTTTAGGAACCTTGGTTGTGCTGCAGTCTAATGAGGTGAGTTCAGCTTTAACATGAAGGGTATTTCTGGCATGACATTGTATATGAAATACCTATGTCTAGAATTTTCTGCCGAATCCAGAAATGTCATAATATACAGAGGGTACCATTTAAAAAAAAAAAAGGTTGATAACGGTACAGCTGTTCTTGTATGAAAACATTAATGTGGAAAGATCTCAAGCAAAAATCGACAGATGCGAGCATTTTTTCGAAAACGCCTTCATTTATTTCATATTGAATATGTTCCATACTTTAATTTCACCCTGTTTATTTGAAAAAAATATATATATTTCTATCATTTCTCAATTTTTTCATCTCACAGGAGTAGGGAGGGGCCCGGTAAAATTTTTGAACACGGGCCCGGAACATCGTCACTACGCCACTGACAAATTCTCTCGGAACATCCCTGTTCAATATATTAAGTTAAAATTTTCAGTCTCGTTTTCAGTAATTGTAGCTCCTATTAA